ATTGCAAAACACAAAACGCCACACGCCCTCCTACCAACCATTCAACCACTCCAGGCGATCCTAAGCAACTCCTCTCTTTGACGATCCAAAAACTTTAAGCACTGGAACAATAGCACGCTGGGCCCGTGTACATAGAACTTTCCACTGTCTGATCAAAAGCCCCCGCCAGATCCAAAACACAAAGTATATTTTGCCATTTTTGCCACTGAATGAGAAAATCATTGCGCAAAAGCCATAAGCTCCACATGATAGCAAAAGTAACTTATTAATTGCTTCCCGAGATTTCTCTTCTCCATAGAGAAGACAATGATACAAAGGATTCAGGTACAGAGATACCAAAAGACTCAACAATAACAGACCAAATCGGCTATTTTTGGTTCTTTATAAACTTGGACTGCTCTTTAATCACTCAAGCTCATTACCTCTGCTGTCTAGCGCAACAAACTCTAATGTCGGAGGTCTCGGGCTCGATCCCTGGTAGTGCGGGATTTTTTTTGCGAACTTATGCTACAGTGCTCGATCGCTTCTCCATACAGATCCGCATGTGCGCCAGTGGGCCGACCCAGTCGGTTTCCTGTGCGTTTGCCCGACACTCTGTCCCAACAAGTGGCAGATAGGATCTCCCTGCAGCCCAAATTTTCCAGGCCCAAGAGTCTGCATACAACACAACATACGCACCCAAAGTTACAGCACATTGTACATCAAAGCGTACTAACAATTTTTCTTTTGTTTATATTTCATAAATTTCTAAAAAATATATTTTAAAATTTAATTTACTTTCATTTTTAGAAGCGGTCATCATGCATTTGGAAAATGTTCATATAGTGTAAAAACTTTGTTTGTGCAATTTTTAAAAAATGTCAATGTTTTAGTTATTCAAAATATATCCTAGGTGTATTAAAAAAATGTTCAACATGTATTTTCAAACCATTCCATGTTTATTGAAAAATGTATGCAAACATAGATTTCGTCGCATCCCAGGCCTCACCCCGATTTGTAATATATGTGGGGCCGAGGATGAAACAGGCTTCCATATGGCACATCGATGCACATTTGCAAGGGCCTTGTGGCACGAACTCAAGGAGGCATGGAACCTGCCTCCTGAGCAGGAAGTAGAATATACTGGAAGGGATTGGGTCCTAATCTTGCTAGATAAGGTGAGTGAAGATATGAAACAAAAATTTATGCTATTTTGGTGGCGTGTTTGGCACCATAGAAATGACGCGATCTTCGCAAAAGGTAAAGCGAAAATTTCCCACTCTGCTCGTTTTCTGCAAAACTACCTTGCAAACATCCGCTTGATTGCGGAGGGAACTTCTGAGATAGATCGAAAAGGGAAAAGTCCGATGGTTAACTTGCCATCAGTGCAACAACATGATCATACAAAGGAAAAAGGATGGACAATGCCAGAGCTCGGATGGGCTAAGGTCAATGTTGATGGAAGTTTTTTGGAGGAAAATAGGAGTGGAGCCTGGGGAGCTGTGATTCGAGATCATGATGGAAGAATTATCTTATCAGCTTGGGATTATATACCGCGGTGCAATGGAGCGGACTGCGCGAAAGCCATGGCTTGCCTAGAAGGACTAAGGATGGCAATGTCGGGGACGAATCTACCCTTAATCATCGAGACGGATTGCAGCTCGGTGACAAAGGCGCTTATCCTCTCGTCTATTGATAGATCGGAGGTTGCAACAATTGTAAAGGAGTTTCAAGCCATGAAAGGGAACAGAGAAGTAAAAGTTTGCAAAGTAGATAGAAGGGACAATAGGTTAGCTCATAGTCTTGCCCAGTTGGGGCGTAGAGAGTTGCGTGGTGGGGTTATGCAAGGCTCTGTGCCAACCTGCGTGTTGAGTGAGGCCTTGCACGATTGTACGAACTATGTTTCTCTACTTAATTAATACAACTCTCTATTTCAAAAAAAAAAACGTTCATCATTTTATAAAAAATTGCAACATGTATAAAAAAGTTCAGTGTGTATGTGAAAATTTTACAATATGTATTTGAAAAAAAATCATCATCTATTTAGAAAATGTTCAAAGTCTATCTCACAAATGTTTCACTAGTATTGATCAAAATTTTAAGGTGTATTCGAGAAAGTTTCAATATGTATACAAAAGTTTTACAACATTATTAAAAACATGTTCATCATGCATTTTTTTAAATGTTCATGGTATATCTAAAAGCTTCGTTTGTTCTCAAGGACATGGGAGAAGTATTGTTATAAGTAATCATCCGAAGTTTGTTTTGGTTCAATGTTTTGATGATGTGTTGTGTCGTTCTTTCTCTAGTGGTGTTGTGTGAAGGTCGACTACATGACACATTACCATGTTTGGGCCTAGGGGAAGGCATGATTGTGGGATTAGTTTGTAGATGGTGGGTTGCGGGAGTGACAGAAACCTAACCCCACATCGGTACAGCAAGCTGCTACACAAACGGTTTTTAACCCCTTTCTGTGACGAAGTTTGTGGCACCCCGACTCAGAGCGACCGGTTTACCTTGCATTGCCAGCCCAGAGACCTTGTCTTCTGGCAACACACAACAACATGGTACACAAAAACAACCTCTTTATTCATGCTAGCGGAACGTAGTTTATATTACAACAGTTAGCGAGGCCAAGCGGCACACACGGTGCGGCTAAACAATATGTACATTATTTAGTGAACATAAAGGGGCCTCGATCATGACAACTACTCGGCAGCGGAACAACGTCGTAGCGGGACTCCATAGCACAAGGACACCGATGTGGACACGGTCTAGACCCGGACAACACTCCTTCCCAATGAGACTTTCCTGAAATATGGCATGACACGCCAGGTCAGTACATTGAATGTACTTGCAAGCTCACAATAAGCATAAACATAATGACAAACAATATCATGATATTTAACCATTTAAGCAACAATGCAACCATACATCCAATATGCTGTGACTATGTTCAACTGGTACTTGTTCCACGGACGTGCTTACTGGACGTGATCATTTCCAGACCACAAACATGATAATTTCTAAAACACACTTATGATCCTTTCGACGATCACCACCCGACCAATCCATGGCCTATGATCCTTACGGCGATCATAACCCGACCAACTCTTGGCCCGTGATCCTTATGGCGATCACAACCCGACCAACTCATGGCCAGACTCAACACGATGGCCTCACTGCCATCCTCAGTACAAACTTAGTGTGCATATTTTATTAAGTGTTGACCCATGGTGTACCCTACTTTCGAGTGTGTCCGTAACTGTGGACTCAGCTATCGATAGATTAAAAACACTCTGCAGAGGTTAGTACACTGTACCCACACTACGGAACCCATGTCCTCGCACTCCCATTTGATTGGACCAACAATGTTCCAACGAAACCATTTCATTGCCATGACACTCTCCCGGCCATTCCGACTCAGACCCCATCGGGCTAGTCCTGGGTGGCCCCGTGTCTACCTCCAGACACCTCGACCACCGTCGTGGCCACGATCCACTCTGGGATCCGGTACCAAAACTTAACTTAACAACGGGCTCACAAGGTTAGCTTGCCTACCGGGCCAGGGTATAGCATGCCCATAACCTTCCCTAAATGGAGGCACCGACCAAAGGCACGACAATGAAACGCATTAAGGCCGTCCCATACCGGCAAATGTGGTTGCACTGGGAAAGACTCGTTTCAGCGGCACCATGACCCGATCAACAACATATTCAAGTTGAGTTATTAATCAGGTTCAACTTAATGTGAAAATAACCGGTGTCATAATGCCATACTATGCATCACATAACCATGCAAACAACTGAATCAACCATGCTCCTACGGAGCCATCATCAACTCATGCTACTACTCTGGTTAAGATCACACCTCACTTATACCAGAATCATTTCTAGCAATCTCATCATTTTTTCATCATGCAAAAATAATAATTAAACTAATTATCAAACTCTATGACCATAGCATTTATTCATCACTTGCAACTAAGTTCTCCTTACCTTACCAACAAGATTTACTCCAAACCTTCTGTAGTTCAAGTATTTTAACATGACAAGCATTTAACAGAATATAATCATTGTATAACTAATTTAAATACTTAAATATTCATAAGTTCAAGTAGGAAAATCACAAATATTGAAGTGGCACTATGAAAATGTTACTGTGGCTTGCCTTAGTGCTGATGAGGTTCACAAAGCTCCTGGTGATCCTCAAGACAAGCTTGCTCTTCTGAAAATATTCAAAACCACAAAAAGAAAACATCAAGAAACCTTCTGAAAATTACCAAAAAATCTAGAAAGCAAGGAAAAATCCCATCTTTTGGGTGCTGTTAGATTTTTGGACACAGAACACAATGCAAAAAGAATCAATGCATTTGCATGTATAGATAAAAAGTTTTGGCCGTTTGAATTTTCCTGGAATTTAAATGAATTTGAAATAATTAAACGGGGGTGGGGAGGGGGGGTGACGTCGAAAGCGTAAACACCCGGGGCGCCACCACTCATATCGCTTCGCGCGCGTAATGAGTGGCTGACTAGCGGGCCCCGCTAGTCAGGCCGGAGGGAGGGGAGACGGAAACAGAGGGAGGCGACGCTTTGCCGGAGCACACGTCGGCGGTGAGGCTTCTTGGAGTCAAAGTAGAGGGAGGGATCGACGAAGAAGATGTTTGCGCACCTGCCCGTACCCGTAGCATAGCTAGCGGTGACCGGACGGTGTCGGATTTGACCTCTCCAGCGGAGGAAGAGGGCGGAGGTTGCCGGAGATGTAGAAGACGACGGCTTGGGGCGGCTCCAGGGGCTCCAGGGGGGTGGGTTGGCTTCACGGAGGAGAGGCGGAGGCCCTGGCGGGGTCGCCTTGGCTTGGGAGGGGCCGAAGCTGCGGGAACGATCCAGAGGGGATCGCCGGCGACCTCGGCTCCGGGATGGCAGCCCGCGGCCTGCCCGGCCGGGCTGCGGCTTCTACTGGCTCTAGGAGGGAGTGGGAGTGGCTGGGGGTGCTCCAAGAGGCTGCGGGTGGCTGCTTTTATAGGCGGTCCGCAAGGAGGGCTCGGGCTCCGCTAGAGGACACCTGTCCACGGCGCCCGGTGACAAACGGCGCCAGAGAGAGAGGTATAAGACGACGGAGGTCACGCAGGAACTGTGCGTGGGCGCGGACGAGCACATGAGCAAGGGGGAAAGCGACAAACACAATGCACGCGCACTGTGCCGTTGGCCGAACCGTGCCCGTGTTCGCTGCGGCGAGCTCCGGTGTCGGCGAGCGGTAGGGGGGAGTTATGGAGGTGGAGACGAGGATGGTGGCGAGGTGTGGCATGCTCTGGCCGGCTGGGCAGCGAGCACGCGCTCAACAGAACTGTTGGCGATGTGCAGAGCGCACGTATTGCATGCCAGCACAGTCGGACGAACGCGGTCACCTCGTGAACCGTGACATCAGGCCACCCTACACACTAACAAAGATGTCTGGCATGTAGTCCTTAGTAAACTGAGTTTTTACCATGGTTTGGTTAGGTTCCAGGTGCAGTAGAAGTAAACTTGTGCTGCTGACAAGTTACTGGACAATAACTTTGGAGAGTTACTGTAGTCAAACCACTGGGATTCAAGAGATGAGCTTTGGGGTTTTAGTAACTCTTACTAAGGTAAATAGGCACACGGAAAACCAGCTACAATGGAGCTAGTAAAAAGGTAGTTGCTGTAGAAACTACCATTTCTGCCTAGAAGTGACTTTATTTTCTGTAGCCAAAATATTCCAAAGAGGGGTGAAATATTTTTGCTCAGAAAGGTGCCATAGGGTCCAAAGAATAAGTGGGATTTTTCTCAGGATTTTTGGGGCAAGAAAAATTAGGGTTGCTTTGGAGCTCAAAGGGTTAGCTAGGGTTTTGGAGGCCAAAATGAATATTTTTCATTTAAGAAAAATATTCCAAACAATATTTTTGGGCTGGCCAGGGGTGAAATGATGGTTGTGAGGAGGAGAGGGAACACTTGGGTGAAAATCAAGGGGTACCCAAGTGGTTAAGTCCAAATGAAATGATCCAAACTCCAAATTCAAAACCAACTCAACTGAAAATCAAGCAAAGAAAAGAGGGCAAAAACCAGGCTATCACAAACCTCCCTGTCGGTGTCAAAACCGGCGGATCTCGGGTAGGGGGTCCCGAACTGTGCGTCTAGGCGGATGGTAACAGGAGACAAGGGACACGATGTTTTTATCCAGGTTCGGGCCCTCTCGATGGAGGTAAAACCCTACTCCTGCTTGATTAATATTGATGATATGGGTAGTACAAGAGTAGATCTACCACGAGATCGGAGTGGCTAAACCCTAGAATCTAGCCTATGGTATGATTGTTGTTCGTCCTTCGGACTAAAACTCTCCGGTTTATATAGACACCGGAGAGGGCTAGGGTTACACAGAGTCGGTTACAATGGGAGGAGATCTTCATGTCGTATCGCCAAGCTTGCCTTCCACGCCAAGGAAAGTCCCATCCGGACACGGGACGGAGTCTTCAATCTTGTATCTTCATAGTCCGGGAGTCCGGCCAAAGGTTATAGTCCGGCCATCCGGACACCCCCTAATCCAGGACTCCCTCAGTAGCCCCTGAACCAGGCTTCAATGACGACGAGTCCGGCGCGCAAGTTGTCTTCGGCATTGCAAGGCGGGTTCCTCCTCCAAATATTTCATAGAAGATGTTGAACACCAGGGTAATGTCCGGCTCTGCAAAATAAGTTCCACATTCCACCGCAGAGAGAATAATATTTGCTTTAATCGGATCTGCTGACGCATTCCGCGGCGTGACATCATGCCACGGCCAGGTTTTTATTCATTTTATTGTTCCACCTCAGCGCGTTTAGCGAGGCGGTTTCCTTGGCACGTCTTGTCAAAGCAGAGATCGTGTCCCCTTATTCCGGGATTCTCATCAATACGGGCGTGGGTA